TTGCTGCCAAGAACCAAAAAGGACACAAACACATTTATACAGCCAAGGAACCGCAAAAGTCACAGTTTTCATACGTCACATGATCTATAGTAAAACAAAGCAAGTTGGAATGTAAATCACTTCAAATAAGATTTGAGAGCTATGGTGGAAAAGAAAGAGAAATATTAAAATTGTTAACTAAAACTATTAAGAATCATTTTCATTAATTGAAATAAATCTGAAATTAAATATAAATGGTAAATGAAAACCTGAAATGTTGCTTTGGCAACTAAATAAAATAAAATAAGTTTACTTTACTAAAATTACTAACACTACAAGTTAAATAAAAAAAAATACAAATTAAAGCTAGCCTAAATAAAAATAGAAATAAATAAATTAATAAATAAATGCCTGGAAATAAAAATGGCATTACCCATAACAAAATTACTAACAATTAAAACTAAAATGATTATTAGTAGGGTTGTGCCGATAGGCGATAGTATCGTGTATCGACGATAGTCAGAGATATCGCCTGTGGCTGATGCCACTGACGATAGCAAGACAATTATTATTATTATTATTATTATTATTATCAGGTTAGTAATACTTATTATTATTATTATTATTATTATTATTATTATTATTATTATTATTATTATTATTATTATTATTATTATCAGGTTAGTAATACTATCTAATTAATATTAGGGCTTATTTGTTCCATTATATTTATTTTTCCGCGTTTTAACAGTGTTGCGCATTATAACCAATCACACACGATTATGTTATGCTTATGAATGCAATGGCCAAATCGATACAGCATAGTATCGCGATATTTTCCGCGGCAATACTGTATCGATACACGGACTCCAAGTATCGATCTATTATTATACTATTTGGTATGATAATAAAATCTATTTCTTTACAATCCACTAGATGGTGGTGTTGAGTTTTTTATGGTTAGGTCCGCTGGGTCACCTCCAGCATGCAGTAAGTTAGAAAAATAAAGAGGGTGGCATCGCGGAAAGTTATCAGGAAAGACCCGTCCGCATTTAAATCGGATGTATGGACTTACTAAGGATTTGTAAACAAGGACAATACTACAGCAAGAATCAAAGTTACGTCTTCTTTCTTTGCGTGAACATTTGGGCGGTGTTATGCAAATCTTCCCACATCGTGACGTAGACATGTGGGGGCGTGTTAGAACGAGCCGTTTTAGGTAGGTGTGGTTGACTCTTAACTTTTATAAAGAATATCTCTTTGGATTTGAGACTTTAGTCTTTGCAACTTTACAGATCTTCTTTATGCACCAAGAGCTTATAACACTCCAAAGAGAAAGGAAAAATTGAAATCGCATCATATGACCCCTTTAAATACAAATTCAGTCACATTAAAAAGGCTCTTTTTAGCCTTATGCTGGAGTTGGTTCACTTTCCGGCAATGAAACGAAGTAAATAAATAATTAAATAAATTAGCACTATAATATCATGTATCGGCGATCTCACAGGCTGACGATAGGAAGATATGAAAATTGAGCATATCGCCCAACACTAATTATTAAATCTAATATTAAATCTCAAAATATTAATAGCTATAGAAAGGCTCTAAAAGCTGCCAGGTCCTAGCATATCCACAAACTTACAGAAAATAACCAAAACAATCCAAGGTTTTTATTTAGCACAGTGGCGAGATTAACTAATAACCAGACGCCACCCGATCTAAATATTCCCTCACAGTTTAATAGTAATGATAAAGTGATCTTCACTGATAAAATAGATAACATCAGAAATACAATAACAAATGTAGATTCTACAGCGTTTAATACTTTCACTCATCGCAATTTCGTTCATCGCACCCAAAGATAAACTGCAGTGCTTTACAACTATAGGAGCATCTCAATAAATTAGAATGTCGTGGAAAAGTTCATTTATTTCAGTAATTCAACTCAAATTGTGAAACTCGTGTATTAAATAAATTCAATGCACACAGACTGAAGTAGTTTAAGTCTTTGGTTCTTTTAATTGTGATGATTTTGGCTCACATTTAACAAAAACCCACCAATTCACTATCTCAACAAATTAGAACATGGTGACATGCCAATCAGCTAATCAACTCAAAACACCTACAAAGGTTTCCTGAGCCTTCAAAATGGTCTCTCAGTTTGGTTCACTAGGCTACACAATCATAGGGAAGACTGCTGATCTGACAGTTGTCCAGAAAACAATCATTGACACCCTTCACAAGGAAGGTAAGCCACAAACATTCATTGCCAAAGAAGCAGGCTGTTCACAGAGTGCTGTATCCAAGCATGTTAACAGAAAGTTGAGTGGAAGGAAAAAGATGCACAACCAACCGAGAGAACCACAGCCTTATGAGGATTCAGGGCTCAAAATTAACTTTTTTACTTGGTAGCACTGGTGCTCCCAACTTCAAAAAGTTAGGAGCACCAGCAAAAAAGATGATGCCAACCCTGAAACAACATACAGAACTACCACATTTTGCTATAAGTTTGATTGCATCATATAATAATTGTTGTTAATAGTGTTCATCGTCTGTTTGATTACGTCTTTAATTGATTTTTCCGTACATTTCTGCCATATGTACATTAACTGACAGTAACCACTGATAAGCTACTACTAAATATATTGTAGAAACTTAATTTTCTGTAAAGTTGCTTTGCAACGATTTGTATCGTGAAAAGCGCTATACAAATAAACTTGAATTTAATTTAATTTAATTTAATTAATAAATATTACAATTGTAACACTAAAATAACACTATAAACAACAACTAAATATTCAGGTCTGTTTCCAATACAAAGATACTGAATGACTTCAGAGGACTTGTCCAAGTTGTATGGACTAATTTTATTGTGCTTTTTGTCATTTTTTAAGCTTGACAGTATAAACCAACATTGACTTGTATGGACAGAAGAAGCTCAGACATTCTGCCAGATGTCTCCTTTTGCATTTCACAGAAGCCAGAAAAAAAAAAAAAGAGTTAAGTTAATGATTACAATGTTAGATTAAGTGACATCCAACCACTTAAGGAACTGCTTGAGTAAAAAAGCATCAGCTAAAACATCAAATTAGCAATTAATAATGTTGCAGATGATCAGAAGAAGATTTAGATGTTCTTTTCTGTATTCTCAATTGAAGAAATGGGTAAGGAATGCAAGATTTGAACGTTAAAAATGACATCTCACTCACACGGCATGATATTTAATGCTCAGTGTAACCTTGTTGCATCCAATTCAAGCCGTTTTATATCTTTTCAAAATAAAAGAAAACCTATCCAGATTCATTCGTGCAAGCGAGACTGAGTGGGGCTGAACATGCTCTAGCATGGTGAGACAAGAGTCAGTTCTCCTCACAGCTCAGTCAATATAAAAACAAGCTTACGTGACATGACTATTGGCACAGATATTGTTCCAATAGCAGGAGATGCTGTGCCTGAGGGTGGAGGCGTGCTGCTTGATTCATACTCATTCTGACAGACAAGCGCCAGTCAGTTCACTCAAACCAAATCCCTGTCTCGCGGGGATCAGCGAGCCCCGTTCTGACGTGCTGGAGACACTCAAAAAGACACAATCAATACGTCTTCTTCAGAGCCCAGCAGTCCAAAGGCACACTCAGGCTGAGAAGCTCTAACGATTTATTTCAGATTCAACATTGATATAATTTTTCACAGATAATCTAGGAAGGCATGAGAAAGTGGAATATGACAGGTCAGAAAATTATGCCAGACACCTAAAAAAAAAAAAAAAAGGATGAAAGAATTTTGCTTTGGGAAAATATCTGCTGAAAGATGGGAGAAAGTTTTGCCAGAAACTATGGTACAATCCTCTATATAAATATTTATTATAGCTTTTTACAAAATTGTTTTGAGTAAAAAAAGGTGTTTTTACACTACCATTGAGAAATTTTAACCAAACTATTTTACAGACTTTTCATTAAGACCCTAAAGAATCATATCAACTTGTGGAAAATGGGCATCCTATGACCCCTTTAATATAGCATCGAAGTGATATAATTGATAAATTGATATTGATAAAATATGATGCTAACTAAGTGAAATAATAAAGCATGCTGAAAAACATAAAAGCATGAATGAAAAACAATCACATGAATCTGGAACAAACAAATGATGAGACTGACGGTCTTTTATCTGAAGTTGCAGCAAAAATATGATTTCTTCAAAATGAGTATTATTGTATTCATCTAAGCAATTTCATGTCTTTATATCATATCTTAAATCATCATTATGTGACTTCTAAAATATTCTTCAAAATATTCCTAAATTAATGTTTTATTGTTATTATTATGTTTTATTAATATTTTTGTAAATAAAAAATATATTATCATTTTTAGTAGCAGTTATGTAAGAAAGTGAAAACAATAAAAAATATCAGGTAAGTTGTCACTTTTTCTGGGGCATTTGTTTTATGTGTTTAAATACATTTATACAATTAATTATTCACAGTACTCCTAAACAAGTCCTCATTATTATTATTATTATTATTATTATTACCTAATTTTTTGCTGTTTCATAAATTGTTGTTTGTTTCATAACTCTGTAGTTTAAGGTATGTGTAAATAAAATGACTTTTAAATATAAACTCACCTGAATAAAAGAGTCTGACAGAAGCCAGAATTATTATTATTATTATTATTATTATTATTATTAAACCTAAGAGTGAAAAGTTTCAAATGCTAGGCTATTTGTCAACACACTCTCACTCTCACATTTCTTTGAATTCGCGTAATTTATCTTAACCTGGAGCTCCGTTTTTGTTTACAGCTGTTCACTGAGATGCATTTTACTGTATTTTTATATGGTTATACCTTACAATAACGCTATGATTTTAAGACTGGCCGCAGTCAGCTGTGATGTGAAGGTACAAGGCACAATATCAAATTACGCTACATCACCGGCATGAAATCAGTTTCAACGGGAAATAAAGACATGGGTAGTATAGGTTACGGACAGCCTTAGGTGGTCGCTAATAAATAACTGCTTACCGATCATACTGTGATATCTGCTGCGGCCCGGATTCCCTCCAGTGTGACTTTGGTGTTTGTTGACATGTCGTGTGCGCGAACAGAGCCAAAACCGCACGGGATCATGGGAAATAGAGTTCAGCAGCACCTACTCTTCATCAGCGTAGGAAAATAATTAGCGTAGGAGATGACAAATAGCAGGCTCACTGAATTTATCTGAATTTAATAATTCAGCTAGAACATGAATGGTTAAAATTTAAATGAGACATAGGTAACCGTGCTAAAGACGTGAGGGATGAAAAACTACATTTCCTGGTTGGATAAACCTCAGAGGAAGTTGTTGAGGTGAGGGGAATTTGCACGTGGATTATTGCAGAAGTGTCTGCGAAATCCTTATGATGGTATTCCGGTTATTCCTGAGGCCACAGTTTGATGTTGATGATCAGGGGCCGTATGTATAAAGCCGCTCAGAGTAAAATTTTAGTCTTAAGTGTGTCAAAATTCTAAGATTGACGTAATTTTACTCTTATTCCTAGACTTAAGAATAAGAGTGATTCATAAAGGTTCCTAAGTGTTAAAAGAGGTCTCAGCTCCTAAATTATTTAAGAGAGCTGGAGAGGTCTCCTAACCTAGTTAGGAGTAATAAGATGGCAGCAAAGAGGAGATGACAAACACTTTCCGGCGAACATATATTGGACATATATGATAATATGGAGTTGATAAAACGATACAAACTTAATTGTAAAGATCAAAAAGTCTTTTTTTTTGTAACTGATAAAGTAACAAATGTAATAACCTCTTCCACTCAACAAGTCAATGCTCTAACAGCAGAAATGAAAGTAGAAATTAATTTTTTTTTCGCTGGAAAATTGGAAAAATGCAGCAATGCACCGGTGATGACCAGTAAGCAGGTTCTTACATACTGTGGCACTAACCCCACCAAACACAACAGTGGCCAAAAGTGATGTTTTGATTTTTTTTTTATGACCCCACATTTCACTTAAACCGTTAAAATACAAAGGACAAAAAAAAAGAACCAGTGTTGCCAACTGCTTTCAATTGAAAGTAGCTAAAACTGGTCACTTAATGTTGCTAGATGACCTCATAAAGGTGAGTTCACTGATCTATATTTATATTTATATAGATCAGTGAACTCGCCTTTAAAAATACATTTAAATATTAAAATATTTCAGTGTCTTAATTAAGTGGTTTTATTGTAGTTACATAAAATGATTGGTGTTGTGCTGCTGTGACTTTACATGAGCAGGCTCACTATTGGCTGATTCAGAGGTTGAGGTCAGCCATTTTGTGTTGACATCTTTGTAGTCCTTAGTTCACAACACTTAAGTGTCACCTCAGTCAACACTTAAGAATCAGTCTTAGACTTTACTAAAAGTTGCTTTTAGCTTCTTTATAAAAGTTTCCTTCTCTTAGTAAAGTCCTACTTGTAACTAAGAATTTTTTGACACTTAAGTCAAAGCTTAAGACTATTCTTAAGAGCATTTCTGAGAAGTTTTATACATACGAGCCCAGATCAAAAACACAGCTCCTATTTGGACCAAAACCCCAAAAAATATGAACTGATTAGTGGGTTTCTCATGAAAATTTTGAATTTCTGTATTGCCCTTTTGAGGTTCTCATATTGTAACATTGTTGTGTATTTGTTGAACTTCTAAGAGTGGGGTTTTCATTTACTTGACTTGTAAGTCTAAAGGTCAGTGCATATTTTGATTTGCACTGTCAGTGCATTATTCCTTTCAAAGACAGAGCCATTTAACTCTTCCAAATAGGATTTGGTCTGTCCCAGAATCGCTTGCCCTGTTTGAAGATCTATCTTACGGAGATGTTTGTTGTGTACACTTTAATAAATGCAAGAACCTGTTAAATCTGGAAGAGCAGCAAATGATTTAAACCTCATTAATATTCAAATTGAAAAAGCATCAATGTTATGTTTTCTACATCTCTACAAATATGATGTGGCATATAACAACCTAACTCGCATGGTAAAACGACTGACTAAACAGGATTCAATTTGCATATTAATGAGCTAGATGACAGATTATAATATTTTGCCTTTTCCCTCAAGGGACAGAATCCTTTTTAGATGTTTCTTGTTCTAGGAATAGCTGATTGCTTTAAAGAAAAAAAAAACAGATAACTTAAAGAACAATAGAAGTTAATTTGATCTTGTGTTTATCAGGTAAACATTTAAGTATCATGTGAGATAACAGTTGCATTTCAGAGGTACTATGGAAACAAACATGCATCTTTTCAGCTTGTAGCCTATCGTATGTGAAGTCATGTTGGATTAATTGTATTTATAAATGTTAGCATACAAATTTTATTTGCAATAAAGCTTATAAGGAAATACAACTAATTTCTGAGATTTGTGAAGTTTGCTCAACAAAACTACGTTTCTCATAAAGTTTGGCACAGAAAATTATAAAATACATTGATATAGCATCAATTACCCACCTAAATCATTTTTTTACTAGTGCTTAAAAACATACTTTGGTGGTAAGTAGGGCTGTGCAACTAATGAGATTTACTACTAATCACGGAACTGGCTTTACTGACGAGATGCGCTTGACAATCGCATGCGATTAATTGCACAGCCTTAGTGGTAAGTGAAAAACGCCCATCAATTGTTTTTCGGAAAAATGCACAGCACTACATAATTGCCATTTCTGAACCCGTAAACTTCCCAGGAAACTTCCCAGAACAACATAAAGGCATTGTTTTTCCAGATTCCTGTCTTAACTAGTCCTTTTTTAAATATGAGACATTTTCTTCTAAATGTTGGCTTTGTTGGGAACAAAGCGCCCTTCTCAGAACTGTCATTTTCTCTGTCTGTCAATTTAAAAGGTAACATAAATTTGCAAAATGAGGACTGCTGGCCAGGATGTAGTTTTGCATTGTCAAATGTCAAATCTTTTTCAAATTACATAGTTCCGGTAAGGAAAGAATACAACCTAAAAATGCCAGAAACATTTAAGTGCATGCTTTTAAACTGAGGATTTTTATTATATATATATACTGTATATATATATACACTGAACAAAATTATAAACGCAACACTTTTCTTTTTGCCCCCATTTTTCATGAGCTGAACTCAAAGATCTAAGACTTTTTCTATGTACACAAAAGGCCTATTTCTCTCAAATATTATTCACAAATCAACATGCTCAATGGGTGACATGTCCGGTGAGTATGCTGGCCATGCAAGAACTGGGATGTTTTCAGCTTCCAGGAATTGTGTACAGATCCTTGCAACATGGGGCCGTGCATTATCATGCTGCAACATGAGGTGATGGTCGTGGATGAATGGCACAACAATGGGCCTCAGGATCTCGTCACGGTATCTCTGTGCATTCAAAATGCCATCAATAAAATGCACCTGTGTTCGTTGTCCATAACATACGCCTGCCCATACCATAACCCCACCGCCACCATGGGCCACTCGATCCACAACGTTGACATCAGCAAACCGCTCACCCACACGACGCCATACACGCTGTCTGCCATCTGCCCTGTACAGTGAAAACCGGGATTCATCCGTGAAGAGAACACCTCTCCAAAGTGCCAGACGCCATCGAATGTGAGCATTTGCCCACTCAAGTTGGTTACGACGACGAACTGCAGTCAGGTCGAGACCCCGATGAGGACGACGAGCATGCAGATGAGCTTCCCTGAGACTGTTTCTGACAGTTTGTGCAGAAATTCTTTGGTTATGCAAACCGATTGTTGCAGCAGCTGTCCGGGTGGCTGGTCTCAGACGATCTTGGAGGTGAAGATGCTGGATGTGGAGGTCCTGGGCTGGTGTGGTTACACGTGGTCTGCGGTTGTGAGGCCGGTTGGATGTACTGCCAAATTCTCTGAAACGCCTTTGGAGATGGCTTATGGTAGAGAAATGAACATTCAATTCACGGGCAACAGCTCTGGTGGACATTCTTGCAGTCAGCATGCCAATTGCACGCTCCTTCAAAACTTGCGACATCTGTGGCATTGTGCTGTGTGATAAAACTGCACATTTTAGAGTGGCCTTTTATTGTGGCCAGCCTAAGGCACCTTGATATGCCACACCTGTGAGGTGGATGGATTATCTCGGCAAAGGAGAAGTGCTCACTAACACAGATTTAGACAGATTTGTGAACAATATTTGAGAGAAATAAGCCTTTTGTGTACATAGAAAAAGTCTTAGATCTTTGAGTTCAGCTCATGAAAAATGGGGGCAAAAACAAAAGTGTTGCGTTTATAATTTTGTTCAGTATATACAGTATATATATAAATTATTTTTTTTTGCTTTATTGCTCTCTTTTGTACCTCATTTACTCATGATTTCTCACACAAGTGCCAGCAGCTTGTTTAGCTCCAGTTCTCACTGTGACACTACTATATAAAACAGATTAGAATCTTTATTTATTGCCTCACGGCTAGAACCTGCAGAATTTGTTTCCGTCACTTTCACGCAATGTCACCATAGAACAGCACATGAACTTATTACAGGGACAATTCCCCTGGAGCAACCTGGGGTTAAGTGCCTTTCTCAAGGGCGCAATGGTGATGGCTCATGGCTCACTCGTTGCAGGGATTGAACCACTGCTACACACCACATACACACTAACGTGCTGGAAGACCTTTAATCAAGATTCACTTACAATGTAATGGCACTTTCACATTGGCCCCTCCTTCAGTGAGACCACATGAGATGATCTAGGAGAAGCTTCTATGCTCACCTGACTTGAGGAACACATGGCTGACCAAAGATTTGAAAGATCTAAATTCACTGGATCTCACCGATGGGTGGCAGCCAAGCATTCATGGTGGGAATTGTAGGTTTTTCACTACCAGTTTTTTTCACTAGCATCTTCAGTTCCTTATAGTTCAGGTTCAGGTACTGACGAGAGAAGGATGCAGAAAATCAATGGCTCAATGTCATATTAGTAATGTAAGGAATTATAGAAAGGAATTGTAATTTGAGTGACCTTAACTAAGACGTAAGTGGGAATCTGCTGAGTGAAGTTTGTTATTAATGCTTTGTGCCCAGGAGGTTTATAATGCCTATAAGAGAAAATACCCAGGAGCTTTCCAGTTCATCTCAATGACAGTTGCTAAGTTGGTGAAGTACCCAA